AAATCAACAATATAACATCAAGCAACATAAAAACAACTATTTATAAACAATAAAATATCAACCTTTTGAAGAAAAAAAAAAAGTAAATGAAAATTCATCATTACATGTTACAATAATTCTTGAAGTTTTGAATTCACCACTCCAAATATCAAATTAAACAAAAACGTGTAATAGTATAATTATCTTCCGAAAACAAATAACCTAGGCAAATAATTCACAGCAGTATTGCTCTGCGGCACTCACGGGCGTCAAGGCCACAAAAGCGGTCACCCGGATTTGAAAGCCCAACTATACAGCATACAACCCATCATTTTTTCTAAATCCCACCGTCAACTACGCCGCACGCCATCGACATGTCTTCTCAACCCACCCCTTTTACGGCGCCCAGTTACCGGTGATGGCAAACTCGCTCCGCCACCAGAGCTGCCATCAAGCCCTATGCCAGCGACTAAGCCCGCGGCTTTCTCGAGCCACGAAGATTGCTGGCCTGAGGAAGCAACTCGAACTACTCCCCACACGGATTTGACCTCAGCGCCGATGACCAGAAGCAGGAGCCTCCGCATGGCGGGATGGGGTAATTGGGAAAGAAAATAAGGAAAGAAGGAAGAGATAAAGGAAAGAGAAAAATAATTGAGAAACCGTCAAATGAAATAAATATCATTAAAAATATAAATAACTTAAAACTGACCAATTAGAACGTANCCATTTTTCAAAATTAGTAAGTCAAATTTCGGTCAACATTAATTACCTAATATTCTTAGTAACTTTTTTTTTTTCTAAATAATCATACTAATAATATATTAAAAGAGTCATTAACAGACTTTCATATATAGATACGTGATTTTCACTTTAAATTAAAATGGTAACAGGCTTTGTTCATTAAAAATTGACAACATGTTAACAAGAATTTTTCAATTTATGAGGCTTTGTTCATAAATTTTTCAACATGTAACAGCCTGTTAACCAATTTTCAAAGCCTGTTAATGCATTTCAATTTTTAATAAGAATTACCATGTGAACATGACAACAATATTTATTTATTAATACATTTCAATTTTTAATATTCCCCAAACTTCAAATAATCATATTAACAATACTTTTATGACAACATTTTTAATGATTAATGAATATTTATATATCATTTTATTTATATTTATGTGAATAAAATAATATTTTATTATAATTTTATTAATGTACAGTGAATATGGTTTTCATAATCGAACCGTCATCAGGCCATTAAAATTTTATGAAACTGAAATTTATATGCTATTAAACACTTCCTTATGTACAACATTATTGATTTGATTCTTTGGCACGTAAAGTACTACATAGGTGTTCGAATTTATCCAAAATTGCAAATTATTAGTTATTAGTTAACAAATTTTTAAAAATATTAAGGATCTTATATATTAAACAAGTTTAAAGTAGAGAAAAAGTAGAATTTTTTTACAGATTTTCACCGATTATTTATTTTAAATCTAATTCTAAATTTCAATTAAGAAAAATTGAAAAGAATCATTAGTTACTCCTAGAAATGGAACCGATTTTCCTACCAATAATCTTATTTTTTTATCAAACAAATTGATCCGAATATTTTTTAAACAAAAAAAAATAATCATCATTTTTTCCTAAAAATGCAACCGAATTTTCCTAACATTGCACTGATTCTTGTACCAAACAAATTGAATTGAAAATAATTCTAATAAAAAAATTGAAATAAATTGTTAATGTTTATGCAACTGTTTCTTTCCTAAAGAAAATGATATGAACTTAACCAAAAAAAAAATGATATGAACTTTCCAAAATTCGGTAAAACATGGTTAAGATAAAACATAACAATCTAAAAAAATCGATGCATTTAAATTTTGAAAAGTTGCACACAATTTTTCCTAAATAATTGGATAAGGTGACTTTAAATATCAATGACGAACCGCTTTTGTTACCAAAAAAATGTGGACACAATTTTGAATGTACATCTCGTCCAAATATCAGTTTTATTTTAAAATAAAAATTGCACGTGACTTTATCCAATTTACACAGTTTTTTGAAAGAAAAAATTATTCAATAAGATTGGAAGAATTGGTTAAGAATTATACAATTTTTTTCTTCCTAACTTTGTATCCAGTTTGCACGGTTTTTAAATAATTTGTATTTAGAATTATTTTCATAAATAATTGACATATTTTTTGCATAAGAATCTCCAAATTTGTTAACAAAAAAGATATGATTTAAATTTTGGTAAAAAAAATAAAATATGATACCAAAAAAATGGGATTCAAAATTTTCCATAAAATATCCAAATTTGTTACAAAAAAAAATAAGATTTAAATTTTGTTACAAAAGATTCACATGTGTTTTTTTGAACTTTCCATTAATAGTTAGTCAAATATTATATTTATTTGGTCAAACTTTCTACTAATGTATTTTTCCAACAACCTCTTTATATATATATATATATATATATATATATATAGATATAGATATAGATTACCATGTGAACATGACAACAATATTTATTTATTAATACATTTCAATTTTTAATATTTCCCAAACTTCAAATAATCATATTAACAATACTTTTATGATAACATTTTTAATGATTAATGAATATTTATATATCATTTTATTTTTATTTATGTGAATAAAATAATATTTTATTATAATTTTATTAATGTACAGTGAATATGGTTTTCAGAATCGAACCGTCATCGAAACGATGAAGTTATTCTATTAAATAATTTGTGGTTTGTTCAGATTTTATTATATATATATATATATATATATACTTTTTGTAATAAATTTAAATAAAACGTGTTACTTAAATATCGAAACAATTTATAAATTCAAATGTTTAAACTAATTGATAAACATTTACAAATCTCTATTTTATTTAAATATTTAATTTTATTTACAATAATTTTAAATGTAACAAAATTTATTTAAAAAATCGTATCAATCCTACCAATCCAACCGACTGGTGTTGACGAATTCGATAGCAAATATTTTATTCAAACGAACTACACTGGTTATAAACCGATTCTCGGTCCAACCGGTCGCACTGTGTCCAACCCGGTTTAACTTAAAAGCACTGGGTAAATCGTAATTAATGATATCTATATATTTAATTTATAAGATAATCGTAATATTGTTTTCTTGTGCATCGCACGGGCCACACACTGGTAATTTGGGAACAAAGATGACTATTTTGACATAATAAATTAACTATCTTATTAATTAATGTAAAAGATACAATAAAAAGGACACATGATGTCCTTATCTCCATCTTTTCCAGCCTTCTTGCGCAGCCCAATTGGTGTATGAGGCTCAATGTATGGTGTAATTTCTGGCCCAAATTCGGAAAGCAGACCAAGTGCGGCCTTTATGGCATTTTTTGTGTTCCAGAAGCCCGTTTTTTGTGCGGATCTCATTTTTAAAAACTATTTTTCAAATGAGAAAATCCGAAAAAAATTATTTTAAGTCCCGAGACTCCAATTTCTTTCCCGAGTCTTTTCTTTTAAAATTTTGAGAGTTCCAAGTCCACGAAAAATCCGATTTAAAATCCTTAATTCTTAATTTTGATTAAGTTCTGGTTTTCGATTATTTTCGAGAAGTGAGATAGATTATTGATATATATTATCTCGCTTAAATTGTAGGTGTTTGAGGAGTCGAGCCTCAGCCTAACTACAAACGATCGTGTTATCTGTATGCTAAAACTGATCAGGTAAGTGTTGATAAACTTACCATGTATGTTAATTTCTATAAATGCTTGGCTTGATAATCGAAAATCAAATTTTGATTTGTTTATGTTTATGTGATAAACATATTTAATTGTTAAATTATACTATTTTGCGTGTGATACAAGTGTTGTATATGATTTGAATTTTGGGATAATTGATATAAATCAATCTGTTGGTGCGGCTTAGTATACCTGTCAAGGGAATATTGATTCTCTGTTAGCCAAATTAATTTTGATTTATTTGTTAAAAGGGTTATTAAAATGTTTAATAAAGTAGGGCCGCCCCACATCTTTCCTTATCAAATGTTGATGTTTGGAAAGTTACAGATGATGAAGTTCTGGTGGGACGAGATGAATGCGTCCCACACCTCCCTTTTATTTTTATAAATAAAAAAAAAAAGAGTTTTGCAAATCGGTGTATTTGCTGGACATGTATATACCTGATATACATTAATTGAGCCTTGTCTTTATTTGTACAATGATGAATCAATTGATTCTAGTTATATTTTTCAAAGTGGACGAATCACCATCTCACATGTTGTGTTATTTTTTTTTTTTTAAAAAAAAAACTTTGTTAATGGATGTGGATCCATTTCATTTATTTGTTCTATTAAAAAAATAAATAAATATAATAGGTGGATATGTCTGCCACACCATGTGTAAATATGGTGATTGCAAATGTGGTTTGCAATAGTATTTTGTAGCATAGATACAAAATGGTTTGTAATATACATTAATATAATTTTTATATGAAAAAAATTATTTATTTAAGTTTAGATTTAAAAATTAAATCTAAATTGATTAGATTAACTATTATGAATAGTTAAATCTATTTAATCCCAAAATTAAATCAACACACAAAATTTGATAAATTTATATGCTTTTAATTCATGTGATGAATGTTTTTAGCATATATATTTAGGGATGATAATGACCTTTTATTCAATATGATTGAATGTTTGTAGAAAAATGCTCTTTCCCCCGTTTATTTACCGCTTTTCTACTCCATGCCGTCTTTTATCCACGTCAGAAACTGTATATTAATTATTAACACACAAAAAAAACTCTATATTACAATCAATACCATCTCTCCTCTTAATTTGTTTTTCCTCAATTTTTCTAGCCCTAAGGAATCCGCTCTCACAAACTTTGTCCAATCCACAACAAATCGAATGAAACTTGACGGGCCTAAAAACCATATTCACGACCGCATAATCCGTGACGGTAAGAAGGCCTACTGGGCTAAGGAATTACACAGGAGGATTCAAAACCCTCCAATTTGCAGGGGAACCAGCGGACAGGGTGGGTCGGCCGAGAATGAGGAATGCGAGGAGGAAGAAGGTAAGAGAGAGAGTTGGGGAGATTGACGCCATTGATGTAATGTGTGGGGAGCTTTTTCTGAGTTGAAATTAGGTACTTGCAAGGGGCTTATTATAGCAAATTGATGTAATGTGTTGGGACCTGTTTCGGCCAAAGAATTTCCCGTTTTCTCCGTTTTTAGCCATCGTTTTTTCTCGGGTTTTTTGTCAATTTTTTTGCCAACCTGATTCCCCCACCTCAGTATCACGTGGGGAGCTTTTGTCTTTCGTTTTTTTCGCAGCCTCAAGTGGTGTTCTTGAGAGGTCAATTTATTATATCCAGGGATTCACATCCAATGTCTCTATTATGGCCCGGTATACTTGTTCTCCCTTCACCTTTTTACAGCCTTGCAGGGACAGGCACCTCAGAGTTGAATTCCTCTTCAAGCTCCGAGCATCGTGTGGCGACCTTGTTTTTGTTCCCTTCGCCGGGTGCCGATCAAGACCCGATCTCTACATCTACAACCCTTTCACCAGATAGTACCGCCAGGTCCCAAAGTTCCACAGACAGTTTATAGTCTACGGGTATGGGCAGGGATAAAACCTCTTTGGATTTGTTGTTGATGCGTCGACCGAAGTACCGCCACGGGGGGCCGACGAACAAAAGGTGTTGGTTTTAAAAGAAAATTTAAAAGCAAGAAATGAAGCTCCATTGGTTCACGAGAAATCGTTGGCTTCGAGTTTGGCAAGAATGAATCGACAACTAACGAGGGATCAATCTCCAGCTACCTCTCGATTTGAAAAGATCCAAAGGAATATGGTGATCAATAATTCGAAGTCGTTGGAGCTATTGTGGATTCTATTTATATTATTTTCTATGTTGCAAAGCTTTCGTTTAAATACATTGTAGGATCCTCTTGCTGATGGATTTTTAAGCTAAATGTGGTTTGTTGGTTAAGTCTTAGGATATATGTGTATGATCATGGGTATCATAATGTAATCATGTTTGATTGGAATGGAAATAACAGTCTGGAGTCTGGTTACTCTGAATTGCATAACATTAACCTTTTGTATGTAGAACTAATGGATAAGAGAACCAAAAATGACTTTCAGATTTAGATTGAAGTGATCATTAGCCATATTTTTTTAAACACTTTGACATTTTTTTTTATTAACACAAATTGTAACAACAGAATTACATGGCAGAAGGCAAAAGCCAAAAGTCTACATGAGAACATTCCCTTTAAAACACTCCTTATAGCTTAATTCCATTTTTTTTCTTGGCAGTGAACCTTTTTAGAGCCAAAATCCAAGTTTTCATTTCTTAACAAGCAACACGAAATTCAAACAAACAAATCTAGGTTGTGCAACAAATATATTTCAACTTCAACAACAATGCCACACATCAACCAAAATCATTCATTAGATTAACAATCCAAAAAGGTGAAAAACAGTAAGTATAAATATCGAAATTCTCAATAGCAAAAAAAAAAAAAG